GGTACATCATCATAAGCCAGTCACATGGAATCATAACCAGGCGTTGGGCCTCTCTGACTTGGGCCCCTTTCCTTTTTGTTTTTGCTAAGTTCTCACCCCCAAATTACTTTTCAGCAACCAGACCATTTTCTTTTTTTATTTATTTATTTATGATTCAAACAAAAAAAGGCTCCTTTGGACCCAACGTTTTATTTTTCTTTTTAACCCCTATTTTATTTTTACAACACTGGTCCAATTAATTTTCTTTTTTATTTTATTTTAATTATTTCCTTTTTTAATCATTTCTTTTTTTAATCAAAACAATAAAAATCATTAAAAAAAATTAGACTTAGTCTTTTAAACCAATTAATTTAATTTTTGACAAATAAAAATTATTTTTACAATCTTGATTTTATTAAAATTAGGTTTTGTATATTTATTTTATTTTTCTAAAACAAATACAAAATATTTTCTAAAATACTTAGATTACTTTAGGTCTTAGTTAATTAATCTAATTTTCATATATATAAATAGACTAATTTTATTACATCTTATTTTATTTTGTATAATTAAATTGTAAATTGAATTAGATCAAACTTTTACCCCACATTGCAGATATTTTCTAAACAACGAAACAACAAATTATTTTCTCAAATACTTGGAACTTTTTAGGGTTTCTTAAAACATCTTTCTATCTCCACGTGTTTGTTTATTTCTCATCATTATAATCATGTAATTGCTTATGAATTGTAATAGATAATTAAGGCTTTATTGCTTTCCTTCCCCCATTCCCAAAGTGTTGTAATAGCATAGGACATTTAAATTCTGCAATTTATCGCTTTCCTTATTATTATTAGTAATTAGGGTTTGCATGACAAGACATACATAGAAAAACCCTAATTCAAGATAAAATACTTGAAATCAATATACTTTGCACACATGCACCTCTAGGGTTAACCTCACTTGTTGTCTTGGATAAAAACAGTCATGTCCCTCAAACGTGGGATGATTTAGCAAAGACCCTCGATTAAAAGATCGTAGTCCCTCGATGACCTTCGATGTTGCCTTCGATAAATGATCTTAGTCCCTTACGATAATTGCTAAAATATCTTACAAGTTGTCTTCTATGACTGTACGATGACTCACGCCCGTCCCTCACATCCAATGATGTGGCTTCCTACTAACTAATGGTAGGATAGCAATATCTAAAGGAGGAGAAAAAGAACAAAGACTTTTTTAGTAGGTAGATTGCTCATAATTGCTTGCTCATAAACCAAAATAAACTAAAACCATTTTCACACCTCACACTTTCAAAAATAAACATCTTTTCAAACACTCTCTTTTCAAATAAATATTTTCAAAACAAACACCTTGTATGCATTCTCAATGCTACGAAAATTATTACAAAGTTTGTCGCACTAAGGAGTTTTCAAAATATTTCCAAAATAAACATTTTGTACACATTCTCAACGATACGAGAATCATTACAAAATTACCATTTTCAAAAAATCTTCAAATATTCAAACATACACAAACACAAAGAATTTCAAAGTGAGCTAGCAATTAAGAGTCCGTAGATAACTACAGATGAAAAGGATGCTAACACCTTCCCTTTTCATAACCTACCCCCCGAACTCAAGAAAAAATCTCAAAGGCCTTTCCTGTTCTTTTCACCCTTTCCTTTATTGGATAAAAGAAAAGTCGGTGGCGACTCTTGCTATTCGCAATATTTGCAATAAAACGCAAAACACCAAGTCAGTTCTCCCATCGTATCACACTGGTGATGGAGCGTCTCGGAAGGCCCATATACCACCTTAAAGTCGATTCTTTGAGGGTGTTGGCCATGAGCTTTCACGTCAAGGAATCATTAGCCCCGATGATTGCCAGCATGTTGTTGATAGCAATGATATGTTCGTGGGATCAGATTTCCCTTCGTATGAAGAGCACGTCGAGGGTTTGAAGTTCTCCGGAACCTGATCATCCCAGATAGCCTGGGATAATAGTTAAGGCTCCAGAAGCTCCATTCTCTGGTCATCATCATCTTGGATTTTTGTTTGTAGGATGTGGACGTTATCCTGGAGCGTTTCATTTTGCTGACGAAGGACGTCGATCATGGCCAGTAATTGAGCCATGTCTGATGGTGGATCTCCGTCAGAGGATATTGTTTGCAGGATGCTTGGATAGTGTAGCCCAGGAAAGTTTTATCGGGCCCCACGGTAGGCGCAAAATGTTCTTGCTGAACACCAAGGACGACTTTCTTACGAACTCAAGGACTTTATGGAAGGTCTCTAATGAACGAAGTTGCTTTGTGTATTATGTTAAGGGATTCAGAGGCTTACACAAGTGTGCGTGAGCTCCAAGCAATGCGTCTTGCTTACCCCTCAGTCGAGAGCCCTATTTATAGAGGTGCATGTATCTCAATGATCACTGCCTATAACTGTCGTGACTTTCCACATTACGTAACTGGATTGTCTTTAAGGCCAGTAACGCCCGTCGTCGCCAATGATGACTATTATCATAATGTGCGCCGTCGTATAATGATGAGCGGTTACGCCCTTAATGGGTCGGCCATTGTGTAACGGTTTCTTTAAGATCGATTATGGTGTGACCTCTGGATTCGGGGTATGAGTCTGACTGCTATCTCTTCATCTTCTGCTGCGTTCGATGACATGATCCTCCGATCATACAACCCGGTTTAGGCTTTGTGGATTCGATCCTGGTTGATAACCAGTTGGTTGCCTACACACCTTGTCTTTTATCTCATCTAACTCGATCAATAGAATTGTGTATGAACAGTATTTATAGCCCCCAGCGCTGGATCAAGATCTACGCGTTGAGTCAAGCAATTAGGTTCAATAACGAAGACTGTCAAGATTATGTGTGTAGTGGAGTCCAGCTCGTGGCCTCCTCTCTGGTCAACTGCCCCGAGATAATAGGGAAGTTGGACCCGTTACTCTCGGTGGGCAGAATGACAATTTAGGATAGTCGTTAGTCACGTTTCCCTCGTGAACACGTAGGATCATCCCCAATAGTTAGTGACTTAGGCTAGATGTTATTGGACCATAACAGCTGTGCTGGATTAGACCTACTCAACGGTGCATTAAACCCCAACTCAACCCAGCACACAATCTTTCCATATTTCTTCTCAATATTTCCTGCATTCTATTTTTATAAGCAAATTTAACCAATTTCATACATATTAAGAAAATCAATTAAAAGTCGATTAACTCTTTGATTTGATAAAAACAAATGGTCATTTAAAAAAAATTCCATCATAATTTAGTACCAATATTCAATAAAGGAAGCTTGTGTACCTCTTCATTATTCCATGTTTGTTCATTTCCTTTGTGCAATATTAACATGTTTCAATCTGTTAATGCCTAATACTACTAACCGCTAGTCCATGTTGTTTCTACTTTTTAGAACTAGATAGCATTGGCTATTGAAAAATTATTTTAAATAAGTGATGAGTTGGTATTGAAAATCAAACAATGACTTAATGAAGGGTATTATGAGAAGAATAATATCAAAATTTATGAAGGTAGTTAAAGTTGCTTATATTTAAGAAAAAATATTGATATTTTTTTCTTATAATAAAAAATTGGAGGGAGGACAATTTCTCGGACCAAATTGCAGTAACTTTACTGAACCATAAATTCAGTAACTTTTATGGATCAATAAATAATTAATTCAATTATATTAATATTTTAAAGTAAGTACATAACCAAAGTTATGTCATCCTACAGTGAAGGGATGGAAAACATTGTCGGGACCCGCTGCAAAAAGCATGCAAAAAAATAGAAAGGAACCAGACCGAAATAATTGAGGACGTGGGTATCAAACCTAGGTCTGTTCTGTAAATAGTAAGGACAGGACGGAGAAAATCTGTAAATACTGTATATATTAAGTTTAAAAATATAAAAAATTCATGTAAATGACCGTACTCGCAAAAGTCTACGAAAAAACAGAACAGGATAGACACATTAAAAAGTAAAAACCTAAACTCTTAATTCATTCTATACTAAAGTACGGACAAAACAAACGTGTCCAAGGATTTGCCACCCCTACTCTAATCCCATAAAAGGCATTCTCCAATTTTTCTCATTCTTTTCGCGGACAATGTTCTATGATTTGCTAACTTCACCTTTGTTGACATACTTGTATCTATTCCTTCCAACCATTAGTTGAGTCGTCATATAATTAAGCAACCAATATCTAATGGTGAAAATAGATCAGACCAATAAAAGAGACTTATAGATTAGTCTATATAGATCTACGTTAAGTTAGACTTTTTTAAATAGAAAAGACTAAAGCTTTTTTATAAGTCTATTTAGTTAAAAAGGTTAGACCACATGCTTATATGACCGACCTATTTAAATAAATATGAATAATTTTATTATTATTGTATAATGTTTGTATTTTAAATTAAAATGCAAAAATAAAGTTTAAATGTCTAAAAAAACTTATGAAAATACGCTGAAAAAACTTTATAAATAAAGTCACAAGTTATTTTCATAAATTCTCTCAAACAAATAGTATCACAAAATATATGTTAAAATATATAAGCCAATCAGACTTTAGAAAAGGTCATACTCAAATCTAAAAACAAACATTTGATATTGTTACCATCAATAGAGAAGGATCATAACTTGAGTCTTATTGTGCCAAGTTTGCTTCTTCATTCTTTGGTTGTTTTCCTCTGTTGCTCATAATTTATATAAAGCACTTATAGCACTCATTTTTTCTTATAAACCTCATTCACACGATTATATTAACAAATTTAGTGAGAAATGGGATTACCTCGTGAGAGTTAAAGGTGTTTGTAGACGTTTAAAGTTTATTTGAGATGCATGTATTTTTACAGTGAAGTTATTTGCCTTTAAAATAAATTTCAATTCAAAGTTTTTTAACCATAATTTTTATTTTAAATAGGCCTTCTAAAAATCAACGTCTAAACTAATCATTTGCATAATCTAACCATCATTCATATTAATCTCAACAATACATATTCATCGTCTTACTCAATTTTCCAACTGAGCGATGATGCTCACAAACACCTGGTATCCTTGTGCCATGTCTGAAAAATGACAATACTCATTCTGGGCATGGTAAGTTGCCATCAGACCTGGACATAACATGAAATGCAGTGAGTTAATACTTTTATTACTTCCAAATTTAATATATACATAAATTTGTTCTTAGGCAGAGATCATACCATAGCCAACACACTGAACATCAAAACCTCCATCCTGTGACAGAGAAAAGAAGTTAAGAAATGAGTAATTCAAAAGCTTTCATGGATGACAATGGGAATATATCTCACCTGAAGTTCCCGAATGAGAGGCAAACTCCCAGTAATTGAAAAAGGCTTTACATTTCCAACTACTTCCTCAGTTGCTTTGCATAAAACATGGAAACCTTTCGAATTGAGATCACAAGCGACCCCAGAATTAGCCTCATCAAAAGTTAGAGTAAGGCTGTAAAAGAGGAGCAAGGGAATCATAAGCAGTTACAGAAAATCGATAAAGAAATTATCAAGTAGTTAAATATTCGAAAGTAAAACAAACTCTTCATTAACACTAAATCTAGAGAAGTCAAAACTAAATTAATTCGAAAGTTGTCAAAACTCTTGAGCAGGACTTCTTTGCTAAGTAAGGATAAAAGCCTCACCTCCCCCTTAAGTTTTCATCTGGTAGGACATATTTTGAAACTGGACCCCGAGATTCTAGCTTCTGTACATTCTCATTAATGTCATCCACATATTCTTGCAGCTTCTTCATTACATTCTTCACACTGAAAAAAATCATTAGAGCATTGGGCATGAAAATTCATATAAAAACAGAAATCTTTCACATGTTTGCTTCTACCTGTGCATTTAGCAATTGCAAGAAAGTAATGAAATAGAAAAGCAAAAAGTTAGCTGAAAGCTTCCAAAAGATTGACGTATGGCCACAATATATATATATATATATATATATATATATATATATATATATATATATATATATATATATATATATATATATATATATATATATATATATATATATATATATATATAAGATGTAACTTACTCGTAGAATGGAGTTAATCTGCAACAAACAAACACAAAAAAAATCTCAGTAAAGCCACATCATTGATAACAAATAAGCCTCGAGTAATTATAAGGAGGAGAATAAACCTGACATCTCCTGAAATGTTACATTCCCCTGGAATTTGGTTGATTCCACCTCCAGGATCTGCAGTAGGGAATGCATTTATAACAATTGAAGGGTTTCGTTTTCATTAAAATGATTAAATATGAAACTAATTACTTAGACAGTTAGACCCCAAAACTTACAACTCCATTGAGTTGGTTTCATGGTCGAAGGGGTTGCGAACCCATAAACCTGTTCCTGAGGATGAGGTGGGAAGTCCTTGTAAAATTTCAGCTGGATTTCCTTTATCGCATCCATGGCTAGCTCCAGCGGATTGATAGCCTACAGGTTAACAAATATACATGATTTTACAAACTACAATACTTAGCAGTCAAAACAACCTCTTGATTGGAGATTGGGCATCATATTGTCTTCCTTAATTCAACAAACTCGTGGATATTCTTAAGATGGGAAAATTATTTACTTAATTGGTTAAGGAAACCCTCCAGCATAAACATAAACATAAACATAAAAGTTCGTAGACATACAAAATATTTATATATTAATCTTTGAAAGTTTCTAAGAGAAGAAATCATGGAAGAGGAAACTAAACATCTAAATCAATTTCTATGTGCTTGTTTGTTCATGAAAGACTGGGTCTGACCAAATGTGAAGAGCAGTTAACTACTATAGGTCCCAGCTTACATGGGACAGGTCATAGTCATAGACAGGTCCTTCAAGTTAATCAAGTGAAACTGAAACTCATCAATGACAATAAACTTAAATGTCAAGCTAAATACTAACATTTGTGTGACAGAATTGTTATCAAATTAATTAAGCCATATTGCAATATCTCGTAAAATTTACAAGGTCCAAGTTCAACATTTTACTAAACTATACAGAGGCCATTTGTTATTATATTTAATGGGCTTCCTTTATGAAACCAATGCATTGCACTCTTTTCACAGGTTCTGATGTTATAGTAGGTAGTGTAAGGGCAATGCAACTCTTTTTAAATGGTTAAATTTATGCGGGCGTCCTTTATGAGTTTTTTTTTTAAAATTCAAATGTTTACAGATCTTGCATCCTAAAACAATTTTTGAGCAGGAAGATTAGACAAACATTTTTCACTATTTCACCTAAAAGTTATGGATACAATCATAACTACATAAGACATAATGCATTATGCATGTTCATATGCATTGGATATGTGGTAAGACTAGACATGATAGAATTAGAAATGAAAATATTAGAGAGAATGTTGGAGTAGCACCTATAGTAGAGAAGATGATGGAAAATAGACTTAGGTGGTTTGAGTATTTAGAGAGAAGACCTAATATTCTATGGTAAGAAGAGTGAACCATATGGAGAGAAATCAAACAACTAGAAGAAGAGCAACACCTAGGAAGACTATAAGAGAAGTTAATAAGAAAGATCTCGAGATTAACGAGTTGGATAGAAGCATGGTCTTGAATAAAACATTATGGCGAAAGTTGATCCATGTAGCCGACCCCCTTTAGTGGGATAAGGTTGGGTTGTTGTTGTATATGCATGCCATAGCCCATAGGTTCTCAGGGGTCAGGACTAAATTCTATATATGATTCTTATTAAGGTAGCATTTAGTGATGGATCCAAAACAGAACATATGATCCTCCTGAGTATATTCTACTTGTTACAAATTAAAAGAAGATCAGAACATTACATAATGAAAAGAAAAGAAAAACAGAGATTCCACTATAAAAGGTAGAACCAAAAGGGGTAAATTAACAGTCCATGTGTCTGTCAAACACTACCACAGATATACAATTACATCATAGTGATGAAGACATCACAACATGAAAAATCATAATAAAATTACAGAAGAAAAATATATAAGAGCATACCTTGTGAGCCAATCCGCTATGAAAAAGTTTCCCAGTGACATGCAGTTTCCAAGGTATCATACCACCAGTTCCAACACACGGTTGCTTATCAGCCACATCGATCCAAAACCTGAGCAAAAACAGAACAACTTACGTCCTACAAATATATTATAATTGGAATTGAAATAGCTACTGTAACAACAAACAAAAATAAAATTCTACATAATAAAGCACTCACACTTGACACAACACACCTTCCATTAGAAGTGTTGATGCTTCTAAGGTTCTACATACATACATGCATATCGAGATTTTCAACTAAATAATGACTTACAAAGGACCTTCCTTTAGCTTGTTCAAAAGACCGTCTTGAACAAGTGCATCAATACCAACACCAGTAATCGCAGAACTCTCTTCATTCGCTATAAAAACAGCAACAACAGTCGATTTCAAATCCGGCTTAGTTTCACCAAGCTTCCTCATGAGTTCAGCAACAAGAGCCACATGTCCCAAACAATCCGTAGTTCCACGACCCCTAAGTTTATCACCATCGATACTCAAACTAAACGGATCAAAATCCTTCACATTAACACAAAATTCAACACAATTAACATAATATTAAAAATAAAGTAACAGTAAATTAACAATAATGAACGGATAGAGAAATACCCAATTGTTAGGGTTTGCAGTGACAACATCCATGTGGCAGCCAACAAAGGAGAGGATCTTGCCGGGAACGGTTCCGGGGTACTCGACGATGAGGTTACCTCTGCCGGGGAAATAGGTGACATGGTTGAGGATTAAGGGACCGCCGCCGGTGGTGGTGCTGAAGGGTAAGAGGGAGTTTAACAGGTGCTTCACTACTTTGTCTTCTTCGGGAATGAGTTCCGGTGGATTGTTCTGAACGTGTCGGGATTCGCCGATCAGATTGGAGAGTAGGGGTATGAATGAATCCTTCTCTAAGTTACCTAATGATTCCAACAATTTCGTGGATGTAGCCATTGAATGGATTTCGAAACTCTTGTTCTTTCGCTTCTGCGTTCTGTTACCTTTACTTCACACTTGGAAGTTATCTTTTTGGATCAAGGACAGGACATGCGGTTTTTTTCTTTTTCTTTTTGCTTTTTTGTTGTTGTTTCCACCTTAAATGTTGTCAAAAATATATCTAGCTATCCGGTGTCCAAAAGCAAACTGATTCAATAGACAACTTTAAAATCGAATCGAACCAAATTGAAATCACAAAAAAAATTGTATTTGATTCGAATGTGTTTGGATCATTTTTTAACAGAACCATGTGGTTCGGTTTTTGGTTTGTATTTTACAAATCGAACCAAACTAAATCAAATCGTAATATGTTATAAAATTTTACTACCCAATATATATTTATTTAATTCTTTAGAGAAATCAACATATATTATGTATATATTTTATCATACTTTGTTTGATATTTATTTTAATTTACAAATCATAAAAAATAAAATATTATTCATTTATAAATATTATTTTCACAAAATATATTTTATCGTATTCTTTGTATAATATTTATTTAATAATGTAATCTTGTCTATATCATTCTTTAGATTTAGATAAAATTATAATACGCAATTTTATGTATCAAATTATAAACTTATTTTGACAATTAAAAATATTTTTATGATAATGTATGAACAATTAAACACAAAATTATATTTTCCTCTATATGTGTATGTATGGCTTAATAATTTTTTTTGTAAAAAATCGAACCAACTGAACTAATCCAAACCGCATTAGGTTGGTTTGGTTTGGTTCGGTTATATTTTTAAAAGTCAACCGAACCAAACTGAATCGCATATTTTTTTCTCTTGTCGTTCGGGTGATTTTTTGCTTCAAAACCGCACCGCGAACACCTCTACTATCCAAGATGCATCTTCATAAATATTATTAAATAAATAGATAGTCTGAAGATAAATCTTTGGACGACTTAGTTTTGTATCCCCATTAAACTTTTTCTATTTCTCCTTCTTTATTTTCTAAAAAATTCTTAAAATAAATTATTTAAGCTCTTCAACATTCAAGCTTCTCATTCATTCATTCAAACTTCTATCATTGGAGTTATGCAACATTCAAATTTTTCCTACCTTTCATCATCTCAAACATTCAAGTTATTTCTCATCATTTTAATTAGGTAAGTATTTTAAAATTTTATCTCTTTTTATTTTTTGATTTGTAGTTAGTTGTTTAAACGAAATTGATAGCTTACAAGAACATGCATTGAGATATTTTTGGAGGGTTAGAGAAGAAATGATGTTTCTGTCATGGAAGAAAATCGTAGGTTTGTCTGGAAATGCATATATGGATTTGCTCTGAACTGTTTTCAGAGATGCATATATGGATTTGCTCTGAACTGTTTTCAGATAAGCATTTTCAGATTTGACTCAGCTTGAAATTTGGTTGATTTTGTGGAAATTTTGGATTTTGCTCTGATCTCTATGTCTGTTTGTAACACATGTGTGATGGCTGAAAATAACCCTGACAGAATTAGGCCGGACCATGTGTCCCAAAATGCACAGGCACGACGTGAGAGGGCCGCAGTAAAAAACACGAGGCCACGAGTTGATGATAACTTGTTTGATGATCAGCAGCATCGAGGTTTCCAACCATCGGGTTCTCGTAGCCACCTCTCTCAAATATCTACTTCTCAGAGCCACGAGTCCTCAAATGATGCAGCTGATCTTGAAGCCTGAGAGAAATCCGTTATCAGGACCGACCCTGGGCCAAGGTAAGCAGGCCCTTAGCCCAGGGCCTAAAAGAAAACGGGGCCTCAATTTTTTATGACGGACCTTGTAAATTACATAGTAATTTAATAAATATAATATATTACATTTTCATTATGTAGCATATAATTGGCTGAGCGGTGTAGTGGTGGTTTCTTGAATGAAGTTTATTGTGACGTAATTTGGGTTCAATTTTCAGCTTTAGTCATTTTATCAATTAAATTTTTTAATTCAACAATGAAATTGATTATTTAAAGGCTTTTAATTTGATTACATTTTAAAATTACAAAATCATCTTTAAGGAACTTGTAATCCTATAATAAATAAAGGATAGTTTAGTCAATTTGGCATTAAATTTTTTAATTCAACAATAAAGGTTATTTAAAGGTTTTTAATTTGATGTCATTTTAAAATTATAAAATTATCTTTAATAAATTTTAATTCTATAATAAATGAAGTGTAGTTTATTTTAATTTTTTAATATTATTTTAAATATTTAATTATTCTACTATTTTTTTTAGATTTTAAAATATCACTTAAATTCAATGTTATTTTAAATAGATTTAAAAAAAAGATTATTTTTTAGATATCGTTTTAAAAATTATATGATTTTGTTTATATTAAAAATTTTAATGATAAATATTTAAATAACTAGATGTCAAAATTATTCTTTTAATTTTTAAAAAATAATTAAAAATATACTGTTTCGAAGATACATCGTCTATTAATGAAGAAGCTTCATCAAAGGGAATATATATTTCGAACATTGAAGATGATTGTAATACGGTGGGAGAATTGACTTGGGTGTTTTGCGTTTGATCGCAATTGTTGCAGATAGCAAGAGTCGCCACCGACTTTTCTTTTATCCAATAAAGAAAAGGGTGAAAAGAACAGGAAAGACCTTTTGAGAATTTTTCTTGAGTTCGGGGGGTAGGTTATGAAAAGGGAAGGTGTTAGCACACTTTTCATCCATAGTTATCTAAGGGCTCTTAGTTGCTAGCTCACTTTAAAATGCTTTTGTGTTTTGTGTAAGTTTGAAAATATTTTAAAAACTCCTTTGTTTCGGAAAACTTTGTAATGATTCTCGTCTCTATAAGAATGTATACAAAGTGTTGATTTTGAAAATAGTTCAAAGAGATGTTTGTTTTTGGAAAGATGTTTTAGAAGCGTGAATGTGGAAATGGTTTTAGTTTGTGAGCAAGAAACTACGAGCATTCTACCTAGTCAAAAAGTCTTAGTTCTTTTCCTCCTCCTTTAGATATTGTTATCTTACCGTTGATTGGTAAGAAGCCCTATTATTGGATGTAAAGGGATAGGCGTGGGTCACAGTACAGTCATAGAAGGAAACATGGTAGGATACCTTAGCAATTTGTCATAAGGGTCTAAGATCGTTTATAAAAGGCAACATCGAAGGATCATCGAGGGACTACGATCTTGTATTTGAGGGTTATTGCTAAAATATCCCACGTTCGAGAGACATGACTGTTTACATTCGAGACAACAAGTGGGGTATACCCTAAAGGTGCATGTGTGAATTGTGTTTTGATTACATGTATTTTTGTCTTTGAAATTAGGGTTTTCTAAGATTGATTTTATCTTGTCATACAAACCCTAATTACTAGCAATAATAGAAAGCACTAAATTGCGGAAATTAAATATTCTACGTTGTAACGTGGTGGGAGAACTGACTTGGGTGTTTTGCATTTGATCGCAATTGTTACGGTTAGCAAGAGTCGCCACCGACTTTTCTTTTATCCAAAAGGAAAGGCTGAAAAGAACATGAAAGACCTTTAGAGATGTTTTCTTGAGTTCGGGGGGTAGATTATGAAAATGGAAGGTATTAACACCCTTTTCATCTGTAGTTATCTACGGGCTCTTAGTTGCTTGCTAGATCACTTGCTTTTGTTTGAAAATGTGCTTTGTGTGGTTTTTGAAAGTATTTTGAAAAGGGCGACATTGTTTAGGCAAACTTTGTAATAATTCTCGTTCGTAAGAATGTATAAAAAGTGTTGATCTTTTGAAAAGGTTTCAAATTTGAAAGATGTTTTGAAAGTGTTGGTGTTTGTTTTGAAAATAGCAAGTATGTTTTGGTTTGAAAATGAGCAAGCAACTAGGAACATTCTACCTACTCAAAAGTGTTTCTTGTTTATTTCCTATTTCCTTTGACATTGTTATTTTACCATGGATTGGTAAGTAACCTTATCTTTGGATGTAAAAGGGACGGGCAAGGGTCATCGTGTAGTCATGAATAGCAATGTTGTAAGATATCTTAGCATTTTCTTTGAGGGACTAAGATCATTCGTAAGGCAACATTTGTAGCGTCATCGAGGGACTATGATCTTGTATTTTTGTTTGTTTTTTGCTAAGACATCTTACATGCGTATTATGACCATTTATTTCTCAAGGCAACAAGTGGAGTTAACCCTAGAGGTGAAAAGTATGCAAGTGTGTTGATTTACATGTATTGTTTTGTCTTGATTAGGGTTTGCTAATCATTGGTTTTAGTCTTGCCATACAAACCCTAATTACTAGCATTTATATAAAGTGATAAATTGCAGAAAGTAAATATTCTACGCTATTACATTATTTGGGGGATGGGGTATACATTTTTACAAATGGGGGATTTTGCAAGAAAATTAAATCTAATTAGCTATTACAACCATATTGAATATTGTACAAAATAATTGAATAAATAATGTACAAAAAAGAATAAATATACAAGTATGTAAATGGAAAGGAAATGGATTTTTGTTTGGATTTTTATGAAAGGGGCTTAACCTAATTAAGAAAATGATTAGCGAAAATTAAATAAAACTAATTAAGAAAGAAATTAAATCAAAAAGTATTTTTAGGTTTTTTTATGAAAGGTTTTTAAATTAAAAAAAATAGTAATAAAAAATAAATTAAAATAAACCTAAGTTCTAAATTAATTTTGATTTACAAGAAAATAATATAATATAATAATTAAACCTAATTATCTAAATATTAATCAAGAAATATAAATTAATTTATTAAGAAAATTGTTTTTGTTCTTTTTAGTTTTTATAAAGAGAAATATAATATAAATGAGTGTAAAAATAATAAAATAAATATTTTTGGATTTTTATTAATAATAATAATAATATTAATAATAATAATAGTATTAATAATAATAATAATAAAGATGATAAAAGAAAATATGAAAGCAAAATAAAACAAAAAAAATAAAATAAAGAAATAATGGGCCAGGGGTGCTGAAACAAGGCAGGG